GAGAGAGAGAGAGAGAGAGAGAGAGAGAGAGAGAGAGAGAGAGAGAGAGAGAGAGAGGCGTGTGGGGAGCTGATTTGTCCAGATGGCTGGCTGAGTATGAAACATGGCAGAAAGGAGAGCGATGTAACGTCCCTCAGTTCTCACATCTTATCACATTAATACTCTACCACTCCACTTAAACAGCCTCCGTGAAACTGAAATTGACCATCAATGCAGTGTCATGTTAAATTAATATTGCCATCCACATAGGGGCGATGTGGCTCCTGCACATCCCAGATGAGACAGGGAATGACTAATTAATTTCCTGAGAGGAGAGAGGAACCTCTTGCAATGTTTCACTACGTGCTCACGCACATACACACACACACACACACACACACACCTCGCACATGATGCACACCCCTGTCACAGCCTTGGCTTTAACTTTCATGTTTAGAGGAAAAGAATAATAGCTAATAATTTCATACAAATAAACACATTTTGCTTCCACTTCCACTATTCTGCAGTTTCAATACTGCGGTTTCATCTGTGAACAGTCTTGCGGGTGTTCAGTCAAAGTTTATTTTAATCTGTTGCCTTGTTTTTACTTGTTTTAGCCTGCAAAAAATAGATTTACTCTGCATTACAGTGGGTGCATTGGAACATGGTTAATGCGGTGCCACAAGTCACATGAATATTAAACATGATTCTTTAGAGGAAAATTTTCACCTGTTCCTGTCAGCACAAAGTGTGAAACACATACTTTAACAGAATGCAAGAGGGGGAGGATAGGAAGAGAAAAGCACCACGCATAAAAGTCTGATGGCAACTGTGAACACACAAAAAAAACAAAAAACCTTTAAAATATGTGGTTTTATTAAAAGAAGCTCTATAGGAGTTCAGCATTATACTCCAGAAAGTTCAGAAACAGACACCGGACACATTAAAGACAAACTGAAACACTGAAGCAACACAGTCGAAAGATTCTGCCTCTTAATATGGCCCGGGATCCAAAATTACATTTAATTTCCCATCATGCAACTCCATACCACCATTCTTTAGACACCCAGTGCATAACGCTGCCACTATATCCCCCACTTCCTATTAAAAGGACTCAAGCCTGTAAGTCAAAAGAAACCTCGTGACATTATCAGACATATATACTTAAACTTCACACTTAATAAACTCAGCTTAATGGGAAAAAACACACACATGCTAATAATTTATCAGTCTCATGACTGGTTATAGACAAAAAACACATTTCCAAAAATCAAGTAAGTATTTAGGGTAAAAGCGAACTGGGATTTCCTCCTAAACAAAATGTAAAACCACGTTCCACGAATAACCAAGAAGGCAAAAATAAACAAAAAGAAGATAAAGAACATTTCTGTTCTGCCTTACTGATTTTTTTTTTCACAAATCAACTACCTTCCATTATAGGTCTGAAATATAACTTCAGACTAAAACTCCTGATAAGGCCTCCTTTTCTGTCTGAACAACTCCAGTTCGCTTCCTTCACTCTACCCTTTCAAGCAAAAAGTTTAGAGTCATCATAAACGTCTTTGCTTCATAATCACCGCCGTTCCCATTTGTGTTTCTATAGTGCTAAAAACGTTGTCTTTCTCCCTCTGGATTTAAGGTCTATAGAGCAGCATATGGTACCACCTCAAGGGTGGATGGTGATGGTGTGTAGAGGTATGAATAAGCATCCCACTGTACACTCCCCCCCCACCCCCATCCCCCTGAACCCTCCAGCGAAAGGTGGGTCCTGCAGCACGACGCATTGGCATGGAAAATGAGCTATTAAATCCAAAGCTGTAAATACTTCAGTGTTGCATTGGTCTGCTCTCTGCTTTCGTCCTGCTTTCAACTTTTTATTTGCCAAAATTTAATTCGCTGATTAGTTTAATGCTGATAAATCAGCATCTCATCTATTCTAATAAATCAGCATCTAATTTTTTTATCCTTAAAAAAAACAACAACTTCTCTTTGGGACCTTTTTTTGTTTGTTTTTTCGTGTTGCATGGAGTGGTTTAATGTGTAGGGGTTTGCTTAAGAAATAAACATTCCATGGTTCAATTCTCGGATGAGACACGTATTCCGTCAGGAAGGGAGTCCAAATTGACCGTGAGAATCTACGTGCTGTAGCAACCTCTCGACAATAATGGAGCAGTCAAAAAGCAGCCTTTATGTAACCTTTCTGGGTATTCTTGGCTACCAAAACAGGCTAGAAATAAAATACACTGTGATGATTAGAAATTACAAGAGTCAATTGCTTTTTATTTTCTTCTACACATGCTAAATGACAAAAATCATCTGTAAGGATTTAAAGATCCTAGAAATGTTTGTATCAAAAGCCAGTATGGGTTAAACCATCACTAACGTGTTTAAACTTAACACTATACAGCAGAACAGTGGAGCACCTATCATTTTAATTCCTGGCTATTGCTACAAACACAAATTACATCCTGCATACTAGCAAGAGTGGATAACATGTGTTATCATTGCTTTAAGGCTCGGTCTGAGGTCAGACAGCTCACTCCAGTGAAAAAGTGACCAATTTACCTCAAAATGCAAATTTTAGCTGCGCCCTCATTGGCAAAATGCGAGCATGTGTATGCGATTCCTTTAAGGGACAAATTGACAAATCTGTGTGCAGCCTCCCACTGCCGTCTCCTGATTTCTCTGATTAATCAAGTGAATAAAAACTAGGTCTTAATTAAAAGGATCTGGACGTGCTCCCAGCTCAGAAACTGGCAGACCCCCACCGTGCTGCTCCGCAGTCGGCCCCACAAACAAACTCTCAGAATAAATGACCAGCACATAAAAAGGTGAATAATTCACTGTAATGAGGGAACTTAGCAATAATAACAACTGACATATGTCGTCAAAATGAAGTGAAATGGGTGCTTTCTGGAAACAAGTCAGCATTAAGGAAAGTGGAGATGCAGTCTCATAAACAAGAAAACAACTCTACTGCATAAAAATAGGTAAACCTAAAAAAAAAAACAATAATAAAAATGAAGTAGTGATCATTTGAACCCCTGGAATGTGCCCTTGACTCGAAGCCTCGAGTTGGGACCTCAGTGTCAAAGCTTTCATTTTCTTAAGTAACACTAAGTAAGTGCCCTCAAAACTCAAGAATTATGACAGAGGGTGGAATTATGAATACGTATAGACTAACCATTAATAAGAAGAAAGTGGAAGCTCAACATTAATCATCAAGATTTTAACCTCTAATTCTTACAGCTTTAAGCAGTTTGGTCTAAGCTGTGAAAAATATGACTTTGGCACACAAGGTGACTGGCAGAAAGGATGTTTTCTTGTCTGTAACATTCCAGTACTGCAGTTTCACTAATTGAACAGTATTTACTATACAATCGTTTTAGCCTAGATTATGAAGTACACCACACAGTACAGTATGTACTTAGATAAGACATACTGGAAGTATCATTTCTGTGTTTACTACAAAAGCGGTATGTAGTAAAACTACAGTCTCCACACAAACCATCCACTGTCACAGGATATCAAACCATCCTGTTTTTATCTTTTCTTCAACACACATTTACATACACACACACACACACAGAAACACAAGGGCACAATCATACACACACATGGTAAGCACAGAGCATGGACTTCAATTAAAGTCCCATTAAAGTTTCGGCTGAAAGGGGGATGGACCATAGGAGGCAGAGAGGGGCATTTATTGATGGCGCCCTCACATCTCGTTCCTGCATTAAGTTGATTTTAAAAGCAATTAATACACATGGTCAGGGAAAAGTAATGGAGAGCCCCATGTTCTTAACCTGCCGGACATTTCCCAGCCGAAGTCCTGACCAACGCAGGCCTGCTTTGCATTATAAATGACAAGATAAATCTTAATGGATTGAGGATAATCAGCTAGCCATGAAGGCTGACATATACACACATTCACCAGGCATACGAGCGCACAAACATGGACGTACAGACACGAGGGAAATTAAAGGCTTTGAATACGTCTGCATTGATTATTTTAAATTATTAGCCCACCTCTCTTTGGACCTCCAATGCTTTTAGCCTAAGCTTTAACACATTTACAGAGACTTATTGACTATAATTACAACTGAGTCCTAGTAATGGACACATCAATTATGAGTCGCACATGTCTCTGACCAAGCGTTGCTCAGGGAATCCCAATCTGGGGTCCATTAGCGTCTCTCCTGCTGGTCTGAAGCTCAATCAGTCTTTACCTTCACCTCTACTGAAACAGCTATTACCTGGCTGAAGTAGATAGTAGCTCTAACATTAGCTTGAACTGCCAAAAGAAGAGGCGCCCAATACTTTGGGACCTAAAACAAAGGCCTAATAGCTGAGGAGCTACACAAATGACAGCTTTTCTTTCCTTTTGCAATTTCTGGACTGAATCTGATAATAACCACCAAGCCAATCTGTATCACTTATAGAAGGTTTAGTCATTTGTGTAAGAACTGGGAAGTGCAATTGTTAATAAAGTGTATGTGAATATATGATACATTTTCACTTTTTTAAATCACAAGCAGCTTTCTAAGCGGAAATAAATGGATAAATTGCAATTCCAAGCACTTAAAATATGCATTACCAAGTTAATAATTTCAATATTTGCAGTAAAGATGAGGTTTACAAAGGATAAACAAAGGATTATGAGCACCTTCCTAAAACTATGTTGTCATGTAATGTTTTAGCAAACTCACTGTGGGCTGCAGATGCCTCATTAATGTGCCCCCTTGTTTTTAATAGCGCAAGTAAAAAAGAAGAATCATAGCTGTGGCTTGCTTTTACACAAAAAAACAAACATACTGCATTGATGCATATTTACTGTGTGGGAACAAGGTCCAAAAAAAGAGGGAGAAGGAACAGTTCAAGAAAGCAAGCGTACGTACCGGTGTGAGTGCGAATGTGTGCCAGGAAGGCCATAGAGTTGCTGCTCTTGCACACCTTGCCACAGTATTTGCACACGTTGCCCTGGTTCTCCTCCCGTTCGCGGTTGATCTGCTCCGTGTCCTCCAGCACGTACTTGTTGACCTCCCTCAGGAGCTCCTCGTGTTTCTCCTTGATGTGATAAAACAGATCCTGCTCTGATTCAAATCGATCCGTGCACTTGACACACTTGAAGCTTGCGCCCCCTTCGGGCAGCTCCTCCACACTGTTCTGCTCGTTGCGAAGGTGGGCAGCGCTGGTCAGGTGCTGGTGCAGGTTGCTCTCGGTGTAGAAGGACTTGCCGCAGACCAAACAGTGGAAATGCCTCTCCTTGGAAGGATGCTTCATCGAGATGTGGACGTTGAGGCCGCTGATGCCGTCCGCCATGAATCCGCAGTCCTCGCAGCGTATGCGAGAGTTGCTTCCTTTGGTTTCCTCCCTCACCTTTGCTTCCTTGGGTTTGAGCTTCTTGACGTATGCGGAGCTGGGAGACACTAAGCCAGAGGTCACTGGTGATCCTCCAGTCAAACATATCATGGTGGCTTCACCTTCCAGAGACAGGCCTTCCTGTGCAGCCTGCTCCTGCTCAGCTAGGAACTTCACAGATACAATACAGGCATCAAAGGGAAGGGCTTTGGACATTTGTGTGTCTCTAGTCATAACGTCTACCTTTAAATGTTCATCATCTGCTTGTTTACCCTCTTGTTCCTGGCTCTCTGGCTGTGCCAACTCAGAGACTGAAAGCTGACATTCTTCATCCTGCTGGGCTTCAGAATCTGCTGTTAGCTCAGTCGCTTCAATGGTCATCTCTGGTTCACCACAAGCAGGAGATGTAATTGCATTTGCTTGCTTCTCATCTCCACCTACAAGCACATCATTAACCAGCTCTGTGGTGACACAGGGCGCAGGTGTATTCTGGCCTTCCACAGATTGACTGTCTATGGGACAGGATTCAGACACTTCTGCGGGACTCACGGATTCACATTCAGGGTTAGAATTTGCTGCAGGAAGCTCCGTGATATCATTCAGCTTTAGAGGGAGTGCTAAGGCTCTTTGTCCTTCGCTCCCTTTTTGTTCCAGATATTTCTGACTTTTCTGCTTGTGTTTCTCTGTGCTTGCATGGCGGGACATTTCCCTGCTTGTTACAGCATAGTAACTGCACGCTAAACAGACATACTCAAAATCTCTGGTGTGTTTTCTCTTGACGTGAAGATGGAGGGACGGAATAGATTGAGCAACAAAATCACAGAGGCTGCAGGCATTGACAGAGTCATATTTACTTTTTTTCTGGTTTGCCTCTGGCTGAGTTTGCTCGTCTCCACCGTGTTCTTTGGAAGTTGTGTCATCAGATTCTTCCTCTGTGCCGGTGGTCTCTACGGTGGTATTCGGCTCCTTGGTTTCCTGAATTGATGTACTTATGTGATTTGTGATTGGGTTCTTACTTGTGCATTCTTGTGCACGTCTAACATGCTTCTTTGTTAAACAGTGACGATCCATGTCTCCTTTGGTCACACAGCTGTAGTTGCACAGAGTGCAGCTGTAGCCATAATCTTTGCTGTGTTTACGGCGAACATGAACACTGAGGTTGGTGGCGTTGGACACCACCAGGCCACAGTATCCACATGTGGTTGTGGAGCCTTGCTTTGGTCTTCCTCTTTTCTTACTGGGAGGTCCCAGCTCTAACTCTTCCTCCTCAGCTAACACGGCTTTGGCAGCCTCAGCTGCCTCGTCGGTTTCCTGTTCTTCTCCTGTCAACGTATCTACCCCTTCTCCCCCGAGCATCTGAGCTACGTCATCTATAACAGCACCATCTCCAGCACCATCTCTGCTTACCCTGTCGACATATACTTCAGATTTTGAGCTCTTGCTTTCTTTCTCCTGCTGCTGCATGTGGCTATCTGAGGACAGGTGAGAATCCATCCACTCAGATGTGGCAGAAAGAAAGTTGCACAATTTGCAACGGTACCAGTCCTGGTCAAGGTGTTTGACACGAGCATGGTTCTCCAGCAGCGTAGCTGTGCTGACCCTAAAATCACAGTTTGCGCACTTCAGCTGGAACCTGCTGAGGGTGCGTTTGGGGGTCACTCGTGTTGAAGTAGCCTTCATGCTACTGCCAGGATCCACAGCCTCCTCCCTGTCATCTATGCTTTCATCAGCATCAACTGAAAGACAGTTCAGAGATACAATTGTTAAATATAACTTAAAAAAAGAAAAGAAAAGAAAAAAAGACAAAAAGACAGGCACATTTTTTATTCTACTACCTATTACAAATATTATATTAAGCCAATGCTTAATTCACATGTAATGCTAAAGGCTTAGAACTGTGGAGAATAGGATATACTCACATGTATATGGGGTGTCTTTGGTGTGGTATCTCTGGATGTGAACATCTAGAGGAGCCTTGTCCCTAAACTCTTGCCCACAGTAGTTGCAGGAATGAATAATCTTTGGTTTTGGGATTCGCTTGCTCACTCTTCTCTCTTGTGTAGGGATTGTTCCTTCTTGCTCTACCTGCTGTTTGTCTAATACACTTTGCTTTTCAGTTACATCCTTCATGTTTGTGCCTTTGTCACTTGCGACTGATCTCAGTTCATCACGATCAGAATCTTGTTCCTGTTTAACCTCAGCGCCACTCTCTGCCTCCATGTCTGCCTCCTGCTGGATTTCAGCAGGACTCACATTAGAGATATTTGCACTTTTCTCCAAAGGTTGTGCAGCTTTGTCAGACATCTTTCCGTGCTTTCGTGCAAAGTGGATCTTCAGTGATCTCGGGCATTTGGCTGAGAAGCCACAAACTGTGCAGAGGTTGTCGCCGTCTTTAGGTGCAGAATTCGGACTTGGTCTCTCAATGACTTCTTCATCTGCTTCATCGAGCTCAGCAGCACTGGGCGAGTCTCCTGCAGTTTCCTCCATTTCCACATCATCTGTATGCACTTGCCCACTGATGTTATTTTCAGCCACTTTCTCCTCAATGGCTTCCTCTCCTGATATCACTGTTTCATCCATATCATATCCTGCTATGATTACACACAACAGTGAAGCTGATCGCTATCATCAGAGCTGGGTCAGAATCCTGAAAGAGGGGGGAAGATGGAAGACAAAATGTCAGACATCTTCATTTGTCTGAAATACACTTTAGTGTATGCTATAAAAAAAAGAAAAGGAAATAGTAAAAAGTTAAGTTCAGCGAGACAAACAACAGCTAACAACAAGCTTCTGAAAAGTATTCCTTCTGCAGCATTCTCGGACCAAGCACAAGTAAATGTTGCCATCTAGTGCTTCCAAACAGACATTGTTAGTCACAGACATCCAGCATGAAAATTGGCTGCTGCTTATTTAAGTTCTGCTGGAATTCAAACCTTTTGTGTGATAAATGTACTAAAAATGTACAATGGCCAACACAGATCAGTGGACTGCAAATCAAGTATTGTTCCTTGAAGTTTATTTACTTGACATGTCTGTCTTTGCAGTGTATTTCATTTGCTTTTGTTACCCCATTTACTCCAATATTATATCCTCTTTAAATAATTGGATTATTTTTGATTGAACTTCTGTACATACAAGTTAGACAGACTACAATGACATGTTTCGTTTTGGATTTAAAAACAAAAAAACTGTTTAGTGTCAGTTAGTTTCCACGGTGGATTTTATTTTTTCAGTTTAGTTTGGAGGGCATGTGTCTGAGGCAATATTTAGGAAAATTAGTACAGGTATTGTAATAAAAACACAGAATGATTTAACATCTTTAACAACTCATCAGGCAAGTAGTAATAAAATATTTCACCAAACTAACAATTACCAAGACTAAGGATATTTCATTTTCTTTCATTTTAGTGTTCAAAGTTCACAAAATCATTTCAGTTATTTTTTCAAAATCTAGTTTTTATCTTTTTTTTTTTAAACTAAAACATTTTTCACGTGTACTTTTAGTTTAGTTAGTTAACTATAATAAACCTGTCCCCGTCAGTTCTTTGGCAAACAAGTTGGACTTCATCTGACCAAAAAGGTTTCTGTCAATACTAATCATTAAACATTTCAATCTCCCCTTTTTTGTGTAATTTTGTTTGTAAATAATGTATCTCAGGTTCAGTGGCTAACCGACACTCTCAAATCCTTTCCTATCTTTGTGTTTTTCCACAGTCTACTTTCTCACTCATATAGCCAATGAATTAAAATGTGCAGCTTTTTCATTAGATCCACAAACAAATTGAGGACATATCATATTCACAGGAACTATATAAAAATAAAGTAGTCACTATCCGGTCCTGTGGAAAAACTAAGTACCCCCTATGATCCCCTTTTAGCAGCAATAACTTAAAGTAAAGATTTTATCAGGCTCTCACATCACTGTAGAGAAATTTCAATTCACTGAGGTTTTTGCAGGGCTTATTTAATGCACTGCTTTATTAACGTCCCACCACAGCATTTCCATAAGGCTGAGGTGTTGACTTTGGCTCATTGCAACACTTTTATTCTTTTCTTATTCAGCCATTCTCTCGTAGATTTCCTGCTGTGCTTGGGATCATGGTCCTGTTGCATGACACAGTATGAGCCCAGCTTTAGCTTGATCTAGTCTGACCATGGGGTGAATTTTCTAGGACATCCACTCCTTGGCATTGCTTTACCACACAGCTAAAGGCTCCAGACCAAAAAACTGACAAAACGTCTGCTTTTCAAAGGTGCTGACACTTGCTAATGATCAGTTAATTAAGTGCATTTAATTAGTGGCACCTAACAGCTGCTCACCTTCTTAATTCCTATGGAAGCAGTAAGGGTGTGCTTAGTTTTAAATATTCACAATGCAGTCTACTTTCATTATTTCCATTGTAATTATGTTATATTTAAGTTTAAATTTAGCATTTTTGTGCTCATTACTTTTCTTTGATAGCTCACCTTCACCCTGGATTCCCTGAAAAGGGAATGTCCATCCATGGATTCACCATGGATGGACATTCCCTACACAGCAGCCCTGAGAGCTCAACACGTCACAACTTTAATTACATGAAAATTTATATAAAAACATAATCAAATAAAAACATAATCAAATATACAGGCAAAATAAAATTTTAAGAATCACAGTAATCAAATATTTACAGTACTCAATCAAATATTCTTCTGTGGAAAGAATTATAATGCACACAAATTATTATTCCATGTATTTGTGGGTGAGCTGATGAGAGATTTATTTGGTGAATCTCACTTTCTTCATGTGTAACAACGCTAATTGTGAGTGTATAATACAGTTTAATACCCTTACATGTTGTTTTTAAGGGGCCATAACACAGACCTCGGGGGTTTGGACCCAATCATATTTAAATATGCAGGACATCCAGTCAGACTTTTAAAGTATCCAACTTTGAGAATATCCTAGGGTGTGCTCACTACCACAAACTACCGTTTATTTTGGTAGCATACGATTACAGGATTAACTGAAGTATCACCATGTAAAGACTGTCCATATATATATAGAAATAAAGGCTCGCAAACAGTGAGTTCACTATAACAGCAGAATTCTATCGGTGTTGTGTGTCTGTAGCTAAGCAAAGCGGACAGCGGTCCTGAACGAGTTCGTTACTACTTTCAGTGCACAACTCCGCTTGAATGCCCACTTAAAAAACAACAACAAAATAAAAAACTGCCAATTTTATATGTGTCGATATATAAGCAGTTTAACGACTAGGCGCCAGTGCTAGCTTGGAAGTACTGGTAAAGTTAGCCACAAATGTTTTATACAACACGATAAAAACTGCAACGAAGAGAGAGACAGCCAGTGCCACAGTCCTACATGTTCCTTTGCCGCTCATTTCATCGCTTGAATGATTCATACTCTTAAACACTAGAAAACTGAAACATTACAGCCCCACTTCTTAATACAGTTGCTAACTTGCTAGCAACATGTTCTCCAACGGTCTTCTGATATACGCACAACGCATCCAATTAAACTTCAACATCGGCAGAAACATCCAATCGGAACGGAGATAAGGCGGGTCTATGTAGGTCCTAGGCTTGGAAAACGACGGCAGCACAGAGGCCCAAAAAGGAGGCTAACGTCGACCTCGGAAACTGTCTTCTATGCTGCAGGAACAGTACTTTATAACACTCAAGAGACTACGCAATCGTTTGAAAAAAGCCAATACGAGTATATAGATGTCTGTACAGTGAAATACTAGTTGAACTTACCTCTTGTTATATGCTTATTTCCACTGTCCGCGCTTTTTGATGCTAGACACAAATGGCGTACCGTAGCGTGAGCCATGCGTCACAGAAGACGGCCTTCCTGCCCGCGGCTTCTTGTTTTTTTTTCTACATCAGCTGATTTCATCACATGATGCATTCTGGTTCTGTGGGAAAGCGAAAAACGGCGTAACAGTACTGAAATGCGTGACATTTGAAGGCTTAGTTAGTCGTTGGAAAGCCGTCGGTAAACATATGTTACTAATTGTTCTTACTAATTAACACCGAAAATGTAAAACTATTGAATATGCTGTAGAACGCCATAAGTTAGTACGTGATACATTCAAAGTCACCATTTACAGAAAACCAATATAATCAGCAATTCAATACATCATGCACGTATGTCTAAAATTATTTTTTATGTATGTATTTATTAAGTTTTGTTTTGTTTGTTTGTTTGTTTGTTTTACTTGAGAAGAAATTCTCTAGTTTTCTGGTAGACTACTCTTTTCATGCTGTATTAATAATAGATTATGGCATACAGTGTTGAAGTAATTCAGTAAAATAGCGAAAACTATTTCTCTTAGTGTGCTGGTAATTTTTTTTGAAAAAAGACAGAAGAAAGAAAGAAAAGAGAAAATTAAAACCACAGATTATGAAAGGGTTGTCACAGTGAATTATTTATTTATTTTCTAAAATGGTTGGGTCTATGATGAATCACCACTTCCATGTGACACACAGTGTTAGCATTATAACGACTAAAGATAGATTAATGCACCAGTATTAATTGATTAAGTAGTCTGACAGGTCAGAAGGTGATAAATGAAACCTCCAGGAATGAATATGCAGTTTATTTTTCCAATAAATGTCTTTAATTCATCACAGTCAAAATTCTATGACATGGATGGTTTAAGACACAAACGCCATCTTTCCCAGGCTTCACTTTTTAAAAGGATTAATCATTCATTTTTCTCCAGCTGTCTAGTAAAAGAATCCTTCATTCCTAAACATATTTAGTGTTATTCATGCATGCTTCCACACTTCATCAAACTTTTTTTCCCATTAAAACTGGGTGTATAATAATTCAACACTGATTCATATCACACCCCATATTGAACTTTCATTATCAGTCATTAACTGTAAAAGGTCTCTTTACAATAAAGCCAGATTGCACAGTGTTTAGTCTGAATTTCTGTGACTCGGGAGTCAGAAGGTCACAGTCTACGTCACTGCCTCCGTCACTGAACGGAAAACCACAGGTGTTTACTTGCCTGTCCTTAGACAACATACCAAAACACCTGCATCATCATGTGTGACTAATAAATAAAAAAGACTGTATTAATGTGTGTTTGAGACCATTTCTGCTTTATTTATATAGCACCAAATCACAAATACAGTTACCTCAAAGTGCTTTTTATTGTAAGGTAAATCCCTACAGTAATACTTCAGTTAACAGTATCTGGATAGCATAGGGAAAGGTGTCAGGTTTTTGCCAGATTTGTGTATGTTTTCTTAAGGGCATGACATTCTGATACTGTTTATGTGCTGTTCTCAGACCTTCTAAGAACTCACTGCACACCAGGTGGATACCAAGTTTCAGATACCTACTCTTTGGGAATTACATTATGCTAGATGTAAGTAAAAAATCACCCATATATATATATATACATGTGTATATATATA